AATATTTTAAAGGCAAGTATAAAAATGTAGGTAAAAATAAAATAATGCCTAGAAAATGTGAAAATTTTCGGGTTCTCACATAACTCACCGTAAATTAGATAAATTTGTAGAAAGAGATATAAAAAACAGACCCACTAGTAACTCCTCAGAGAGTACTAAGTTAAGATTATTCAACTTAGAAGCAAGGTGAGACATATCTATGATGCACTTCCTGATATTACCTTTACCACTATATCTCATTGAAACTAGATGTACCAAGAAGGCACTTATCTCCAAATGCACCTGGAACGGCCTTTTTAATGATCATCAAATATAAGAAATTTAATCTCTTCCACCTTTTTTAATCCTTCTTTTCATCAGAGATACTCTGATCTATAAGAGGTGGGGGAGAATCAGTCCTTAATGCAAGGTCGAAATCCATGACTCCAAGAAATAGAGGTTTTCTTTCCAAGACTTGATATTTGTGCCATTCAGCATAATAATATTACTGATGTTGGTAGTTATATTTGCAAGATCATTTACAACTAGACAAAAAATATCAAATAATTAAAATAAGCTCACATAGACCAAAATAATAATAAATTCAAATAAAGGTTACTCCATCTCAAGATACTAATATTCCATTAATATTTCGTCTTTAAACAAAAAAATTAACTTTTAAGTAATATCTTGACACAGTAATAAACACTAACAATAAGAACATGTCAAAAATAAATTTTTCTTTGGGCTAATTTATAATTCACATGTAAAAATTCAAATAAATATCACGTGTTTATTATCATAAATGCACATGCAATCTTGTTAAACATTGACCTCCCTTTGGGTCGATTAATATTCACAAAATTGCAAGTACCCAACTAGTTATATTCTAAAATAAATTAATTTTCACAATAGAGATCACTTTGGTGGCATATTATTTCAATTAATTTATTTTAAATATATACATATACTAGGGGGGAGTGCCTGCACATTGTGCGGGTGTTTGCTGCCTGTGGTTAGAGAGGATTTTTCATTGAACAAATAATAGTACATTTTGCAAAGAAATAGTCATCAAATATGATAAACCTGATAATAGAATATTCTAATTGTAACACACACTTGTCCACTTTATTTTATTAATGCTTTTACAATTTTACCATTCCCAAAAGGCTTCTACAGATATCAGTTGAAAATTGCTCAAGAGCAAACATAAGTTGTTTCAAACAAAAGAATATGTGATATTAAGATAACACATATTCCTTTTTAGTTCTGATCCATTAAACATGATATCCAAAGAAATGCACATTGACCAAGATTTGCACCAATTCTTACAGTTGTGTACTACAATATATTTACTTAATTTCAAATTTTGCCTACAAAGCCAACACAAATTTGAAGCAAATAGAATCAAGTAAATCTTAATTTACAAAAAAATGATCAGCCAAAGGGAAAAGAAATAACCGACCTCAGTCCCAGAGAGAAACCATACCAACGCAAAAACATTCTCATGGATTCTATTCCTCAAAAAGCAATAACACAGAGAAACAGAACGCCAGCAAAGTAACAAAAGAAGTACAAAGGTCAACCGTTCAGCCATGATGTAGTAATTGCTATAATTTCTTATTATAAATACTCAATACCATTCAATGAAGAGCCTGCCAAGATCCCAAGCAAGTTTCTTTCTTAGTTCTATCTTGTTAGAGGTTTTAAACCTAAAAAAAGGCGCAAAAAAGAAATTGGCACTACTCTCAGCAATAATTAATTGTCAATAGGAACTAATGTATTAACAACCCCAACCAAAAGACATAGGGAATTAATCGGTTATGTTCCTCTAATTTTGCTACATACTAGGAGGTATAAAACGCGTGATGTATGTAGGTGACTAAAGACAATATGCCCTGCAAAATATGCGGATTAATGGAGTGATTGAATTTCGATGCATTCTTCTATATGCAATTTTTTTTTTTTTTTGTATATCAGTATGAATATGCATGGCAGTTGACAGAGGGAAAAATATCACTGAGCTATATAGATTAAGGTTGACAATCCAAAGTCCCACTTAGACATATGGATTCATCGAAAAAAAATGTTTGTCGGTTAATAATTTGTGGACACAACTAAATATAAATATACATGAATAAGTAGGAGGCAAAATTGTTTCACGAAAATAGGAATTGGTTAATTTTTCTTTTATCTTACTCTATTGCTTGTTTAGAATGAGAATAAAGTTTAGCATTTTTCATAAAGTGTAGAAGCATATGATGTGACGATTAGAATATATTATACTTCATAGGACAAAAAAGAAGTAATGCTGAGATATAGAGCTACTTTAGCTGAAACTTGAGTAATTCTTCTTTTATCTTACTCCATTCTTCTTTTATCTTACTCTATTGCTTGTTTAGAGTGAGAATAAATTTCAACATTTTTCATGAAGTGGAAAAGCATATGATATGATGATTAGAATATATATTGTACTTCATAGGACAAAAAAAGAAGTAATGTTGAGGTATAGAGATACTTTAGCTGGAACTTGGGTAATTCTTCTTTTATCTCACTCCATTACTTGTTTAGCATGAGAATCAAGTTTGCTATTTTCCATTTAAGTGTAGAAGCATAGAGTGTGACCATATGTATATATTATGCTTCATAGGACAAAAAAGGAAAATGCTAAACTAAATAAGGAAGCATCTTCATTGTACACAGCAATATTGATCCAATTGTGGTTATAATAACTTGGAAAAAAAATGATTAGGTTCTCATGTTTAGTTGACTATGAGTTAACCGAGTTGAATAGTGAAATTAAAATGCTATGGGTACAGACTATGAGTTATCCAAAAACTTATTCCTACTTTTTAAAATCTCTTATGACAAATCCAAAAGAAAATCAAACAGAACACTAGAAAAGACAAAACATCAAAAAGCAGCAAACAATCACAGCCGGATATTTAGCATCAGGGAAAGAACAAAGCATACAAGGAAAAAATATGGAAAAAATTAGCATTAAGACCGTTGCATATAGCTCAAAAGCATTAGTAAAGCAAGGATCCAAGAAACACATAAGGGGGGAGGGGGGAGGGGAGAAGGGGGAGAGGGGAGGGGAAAGGCAATTCTCCAAGATTCCAACTCCGTAAAAAAATGACCAACCATCGAACAAGCAAAAAATGTAGGTAAAGCAGAGTAGCAAACAACTGCAACCTTGAATTTCAGGCCATGGTACAATTTAAGAACTCAAAAGGGCTAACAAGAGTCAGTCAAGCCAATTTAGTCTGCATGCCGCTTTAGAACGCTGCTGGGTTCTATTGCACCCAACATGCCAGCTACCCCATCATATTTACTAGAATATGGCATTGCATCAGTATGAGAACTTGTTGAAACTGGAACAAAAAAACCATATTGTACATGTTTGATCGTATTAATTCACCCTAGAATTAACAACCAGTGGACTGATATCTTCAGCCACAATATTGTCTTGAGTAGCAGAAAAAGACACCAACACTTCAATTTTCTTCGTCACAATCCCACCCGACTCTCCCCCACCACCCCTTGCTTGTCTTATTGTTCCATTAAAGACCCTATCTATTTTTAATATGCCCCTGATTATCTCATGTTTAGATGTCCCATCAACCTATATGTCACTTCATCTTGTTATGGTTGATTACATCATTAGAGTTACATAAAGTTCAGACAGCTTTGGCTGAATTGTGACAGAGTCCCTTCTGCTTCATTGTATATGTCTCTAAATCTGACAATCTTGCTTCACTACTATGGCTAAGACTACAGTAATGTAGTTGCATAGCCAACATTTGTATACATGTAATCCCCTGGCAGAATGGGCACAATTTTTCGAATTGGCCATGTTATAGAATCTTCAATAGCATCCCATATTGTACCCTGAATACATAAAGCACAAACATTAAGGAAAGAGTATTTGGTATAGTAATAGATATTAAGAAAACACTTAAACACCCTTTTCCACATAGATACAATTCTTCCAAGTTCACTAATCAACCATTATGCAATTAATACCAAAACCTCAAAGGGTTGAACACCATGATGGTAAACAAAAATATTTCAAGCTATAGCAGAGAGAAATAAAAGTTCAAATATGTTTTGCAGTTAATTTCTAAATATTGTGTGCATATCTAGGACGAGAGTAAACAAGATTTAAGAATATCCTGATCTCGGCTATAAACAGAATTTGATAATAGAATTAAAACATACATCAATGGCATCGGAAAGGCCAGGAATGGTCGATATGTCACCACCAATTACTTTAAGAGTAAAATCCAATTTTTTCTGCAAATCAAACAAGGATAAGTAAGCAAAAAATATCACCATATGCACAGATACAAAAGAGCATGCATGATTATGCATAAAATGGGTATCCCATTCAGCATGTATATGTACCAAATTTGGTTTGTTTGAGTCTGTTTCTATGTATGTGTGCATTCTGTACATATGCGTGTCTCTGTGTGCGTGTGTGTGTGCAAGAGAGAGGGAGAGAGAGAGATCACCACGAGTGCAACAAATCCAGATAGAGTCATGCAACATTTTGTTTAAAATCTATTCATCTGAGGAATATGTTAGCTCTAGCACATAGAGTATCCACTGTTGACTTAGTTTAAGTTGTTAAAGATCAGCAATGTCATTCAGCACACCGATTAATGGCGAGAACTTTCTCAGCATTTGTACTTGCAAGTATATACCGACCTTCATACCCTAATAAACATACATTTGCTACTTTACTGCACCAATGAACAAGATGCCATACTTATGGATTATCAGACTACTATTGTAAATGTGTGCAGCCAACATTACACAGTGGAAAATTTTCCACCATGTAGAAATGCAACAGTTACATATTCATGTCACTACACATAACAAAGGTGCAGAAACATGAGTTTCTAGAATTTTCTCCAATTAAAACCCTACTTAATTTTTACTTCCAGGACCTGCAAGAGATTGATCTAGTTTAGAAAATAGACTTTAACCTTTTTTCTCAGAGAATAGCATACAACCCCAAAGCATGGAAACTCATCCACTAATGGCCTAAAGATCAGCCTGAACAACCTAGTGAAACCAATATTCTTCACCTGTGTCAAAAACCATGAGTAATGATCGCAATAAGATAAAGTAGTAAATCAATGGAAAATCTTCAGAAACATATACAAATTGATTGGGACTACTGAAGAAAAAATTGTGTTGAAGATAGATGTTGCATGAAATTCTTTTTGTAATGATTTTGTTCTTATGCAATGAAATATGATGCAGAGATAATGATACTTATTATGATTATACTGTCAGTTACATAGGCCTTTGACTCATGGATATAATGATGCATTAAGAACCATTAGAAAGTAAATCATTCTGCTACTTCTGGAAAAGAAAAAGGGTAAACACTAGCTCTCAGACAAAATGAGAAAGCACGCACAGGATACCTGCACAGGCAATGCAACTCCAAGATAGGTCTTCATATCAAGTATTATACTTGGATTGCCATCCCACTGCATCTCCAGCTCCATGGTTATACCTTCACTTCCATCTTCAATGATGGAAACTCCTGAAATTTGAACTGATTACTGAGTATCGATATAAAAATATATCTATATACCATCTTTATGAATACAAACAGTTAGTATATAAAAATGCAGCCTGTAGTTTATATTTAGTGATCAAAAGGTGAACCATATGCTTCAGACGAGAAAAGGAAAAAAAATTGATGCTTACTATTTGGTTGTCAAAAGAAAATTCTATACCATATTTCTATTTGCAAGGTCCATCTCTATGGGAGATACTCCTACTTTGTTGTTGTCTTCCTATAGTCATTTCTATGCGGAGAACAACAACAATAGGAAAGAACAAAGGGCATTCTCTTCATTAAGTAGACTGTCAGCAGTTATAAGCCTAGCAAGAACTCCTCTTATAGGGTAGATAGCAATTCGTTCCTAATTCAATACATGAAAGTATCTGGTAGTTTATGTTCTGCATACCTCCGAGACAAAATTGCTAATTGTTAGGCCTGATAAAAATGAAAGTGGAAATCTGTAACCAGTGTTGTTAAAATTGAGAGAGTTTCAGAGCCAACATGAATATGGGAGTCGTCTATGACACTTCTCAAAATCGGAAGTATTATCGGAAATGACAGATTGGTCTCAAAAAAGCTTCCTTTCTCTTCGTAGTGAATTTCCAAAATAAAAAAAAGCAAGATTTTGCAAGTCAGAATGGAACTATTACTTAAGATGCTTTAGATGATTAGCTCTATTAGCCTTTGATCAATTACATGTATTTCAAGAAATCGTAATAAAACTTTTAATAAACTTCAAAGAGATAAAATTTAATGAGCCAATAAGTAAAAGAAATGTGATTGGATGCACTAAAATCTCATTTACCTCCAATTCTCAATACATAATCACCGGTGATGTTGACGTGGAAACCAAAAATAATTTTTCATCAAGATTTCTTTTCAAATGATCCCCATCTCTTTTGAGAACTCGGTTCACAAGAATTGTAGCTTGCTATTTCGGTCCTACTCAATAGCCTAAATATTGCAATTGTGAATAACTAAATGACTTCCTTCAGCCTATAACTCAAAAACTACTCCATAGTTTATTCACAAAAAACTAAGCAAAAATAACAAGAAAATTATACTACTATCAGCTACTGGTCAAACTTGTGACGCCCCGAAAAGTATAAGCGTGAGAACCCGTACTTTTCCCATTTTCTAGGGTTTTATTTATTTAAATGGCTTGTTTTCTGCGTTTTCTTTAGTAGGGAAATTTTCTAGATATTTTTAAGGAGCAGATATAGTTTTTGGATGATTTTTCTAGTATCAAATAGGTTTTGAGAAATTAAGAGTGTATACCGGATGTGGGACCCACTAGGGCGAAAAGTTCGGAAAAATTCGACCAATAAGGTTAAGTTTCGGATACTGGGTGAAATTTATCGGGTGTTAAGAGATAAATAGAGGAGGTGAAGTGATTGATGTGAGAGGAAAAAAGAAGGATAGGAATGCATTAATGAGGTGACAAGTGTCACCATTATATTGGATATGACTTATGACAACTATTCACCTTTTGGACTTATTTGACCCATTGATTAAATATCTCAAAATTACCACAAAAATCACCATTTCTTACCTCCTTGGTGGCCGGCCCTCTCTAGCAAAGAAGGAAGAGAAACTCTTCAAAATCTTGGCAACTATCTAGCTCAAATCCTCCAAAACACTTGCTTGATCTTGTTTCTACTCCATAAAATCTCTCCATTTGGTGTTAGTGGTTAGTTTGGTGAAGTTTTTGGAGAAGCTAAGGTGTCCTACAACTCTCCCTCTCTTGTTTACTAGGTGAGTGGTGAATGAACTTCCTCCTACACTTAATGAAGCTTAAGTTGTGCTTAGTGGTAGCTAAAGTGATGAATTTGTGGTTTATTTCTTGGTTTGAGAGGAATTGGTGAAGTTTTCAATTTATTGATGAATTTTCTGGTTTAATTGTGATCATGATGTTGTGGTTATCTATGATGGTTGGAATTGATGGCTAATGACTATAGTAGGTGTACATGATTGGTAATTGTAACCAATTTTGGGTTTGGAAGGAATTTGAGAAAGTTAGGGTTTCATAACCCCCTTTTTGTCCGGTTTTGTATGATATGGTTAAAGGCCGAATTGGCCTTGGCTCAAAACATGAAAGTTGTAGGTATTGATTTTCTAAGGGTGCCTGTAAAATTTCAGGTCAATTGGAGTAGTGTAGAATGAGATAAGCCGAAATTACTATTGCTGTTCTGGGTTCATCAGGATGTTAGAACTGTGTCTGAAATGGGTTGTTTTGACTGGAATTGTTTTGGATTTGGGTGTTGAGGTCTTCTGATGAAATGTAGCTTGATGTCCTAGCTACCATATGCCTTTGGAATTTCTGCATTTGGACCTGTTTAGACTGAGTTGTACTGATTACAGCATAGTGTAATTTGTAAACCTGCAATTACGGTTCTGGTTTGGTATTTGGCATATATGACTTAGTTGTGCTGGGATTTGGACTGAGTGACCTTCTACATTGTTGTAGCCCTGGTTCTTAGCTTCGAAATGGTGGGTCTTGCACCTTCATCCGACCATCGTAGCGCCTTTGGTACCATTACCGTAAAATGACGTCAAAACTATTTTTCTGGTTTTGAGCTTAATTTTCATTTCCGGACTTTTCCCTAGTTTGACTTGTACTAGTACTACTTGGAACTTGCTAAATGGCTATTGGACGAACTTGTTGTTGTGTGTGTGTACCTTTGGGTTGGAATGAGGAAATAATGAAGCCTTGATGGCTGGAAAAGTAAAGAAATTTAGGGGAAGTGCTGTCCGAACTTTGAAGGGATTTGTTTGCATTGAGTTTGTGATCTAAGACTCGGATTTGAGCAAGGCAATGATATATGATGGATGGTTTCTGAGCCATGGAGGTGAGTGACCTCAAACTATTTCTAAAATTATTTATGAACCGTTTCTTGCATTATTTACTTTTGAACTGTTTCCAAATTTAATTTTGGAACTGTTTTCTTACATATCATGCGTGCTTGCATATCAGTGTCTTGTTATTATTGATTTTGCTTTCAATGATTGTTAAAACGAGTTTTCTAGGCGAGTGTGTACTTTATCGCACTCGACCTAAATAAATATGAAATTTCAATGATTAATGATTAAATGCTACTTGCGCATGAATGTAAGCCTTTTGGGCTGAACTGGCCATTGCCCCTTGTTACCGGTCGTCTCGAGCCAGAAGCGGACTCGGTCGGGCGACTAGGAACTTGGGTGAACGTTTCGGTATACTCGAGTATTACCTTGTAGGTTGGTGGAGCCTGGCCAAAAGCCAGGGACGGGGTGAATGAATGCACGAATGAAACCAAAAATGCAATGAAATGACAGGAGAACGAACGTATCCTTTTCATGAATGTTACTATCGCTTTCCATTGTAAATTTTTCTTGAATTATTGATACTCCATATTTAATGTTTTGTAAACGTTGTAATTGTTTCTAGACTTATCATTTGATTTACGACATCATTGAAATGAACCATTGTTAAACAGATTTGATTACTGATTTTCTGGTTACTCGCTGAGCTTCTAGCTCACCCCAAAAATATTTTATTCCCCTCCACAGGGCTCAAGGCGAAGGAAGGGCTTGTAGTACTTGTGCACGTGATTGGATGGCCTATGTTTTGTACAATTTGGATTTGGAATCATTTTATGTATAGTTGGGAATTGTTTCCGCTTCGCTTATGACTTGTAATTTTTGGAGAATTTGATGTATATTGGAGATTTATATTATAATATTTGAGGTTTATTCTTGTAATTCATTTGAGGATTGTAGTGAACGACTGAGTCCCGGCGAGAGCTGGGCAGGCGGTCCGCCGAACCCTCTGGTTCGCCTTAGGGGGAGGTGGGGTCGTTACAAGGCCAGTTTGGTGTGTTTTCTTTGCTATGTGTTTGAGATATGTGAAAAGGGCACTTAGGCGAGGGTGTACTTTATCGCACTCGACCTAAACCCTAATTTGAATGTATAATTGTACTTGGCATATGTATATGAACCTTTTGGAACCAAAACCCTTGAGCTTGTGGCTCGGGGCGACTTTCGAATAAAGTTTGTGAAGTTTGCAAAGTTTGTGATTTTGAATAATTTTGTGAAGTTTGTGAGTTTGGGGCGAACTCTTGACCTGGTTGGACTATTCGAGCCGGTTAGGGCTTGGTCGAAGGCAGTCCAACTTAGTCTGAGGTCACCAAGTTTGTAGGTTCATTTTATGAACCAATTTTGTGAATCCGGTTCACCGAGAAGGTGACCAAGTTTGTGACCCGAGCTTGTGACTCAAGCTCAAGTTTGTGATTTCGTTCGCCCCGGCAAGTTTGTGAGGTGACTGGCCAGTGAGGGTGATAAGGTGTCGGTGGGTGTACAAGTGAAGTTCTACGGACTATTATTTGCAGTCGACGGAGTGTCGGCAGGAGATCACGCATGGCACATGAGTTGGCTTTGGAGCCACCTGTATCCTTATTATGTGATGTTACTTTTCTGCTTTTGCTTTACTCTTATTGTGTAACTGTTACGTGAAATTTATGCTTTCGCCCCTGTTTACTTACTAAGCATATAGCTTACCCCATTCCTTTTGTTTTCCTTAGCAGGGGCCGACGCGGGGACTTTTGGCTCGTATACTAGTATAGTTAGTTTGGCTTGTAATAGTTGAACAGTTAGGATGTTTGTTTTTGTTTTGGTGGTTTGACTCGATACTTTTGGAGAATGTAATTATAACTCTTTTGGGATTGTATATATTGTATTTAGTGCTCTTTCGAACTTTAAGTTTTGAGTCCTGGCGCGAGCTAGGCAGGCGGCCCGCCGATACCCTTGGGTTCGCCCTTGGGAGAAGTGGGGTCGTCACAGTAGATCTACAATTTACTAAGGAAATTTGATTAGTGTTACCAAGGGGGTCTAGTGGGATTGTCCAGGACTAAACTAATGAAGGTTAAGTTGAATCTAAACTAAGAGTTGAGCTATTAGCTATGTGGTTATAATAATTTGTGTATTGTTGTATTGTTTCCTTTCATGCTTATGATGATTGAAGTTTGAGTTATGTATGATTTTTCTGGTTTTGAGCTTAATTTTCATTTCCGGACTTTTCCCTAGCTTGACTTGTACTAGTACTACTTGGAGCTTGCTGAATGGCTATTATATGAACTTGTTGTTGTGTGTGTACCTTTGGGACTGGCTGAGGAAATAATGAAGCCTTGATGGCTGGAAAAGTAAAGAAATTTAGGGGAAGTGTTGTCCGAACTTTGAAGGGATTTGTTTGCATTGAGTTTGTGATCTAAGACTCGGATTTGAGCAAGGCAATGATATATGATGGATGGTTTCTGAGCCATGGAGGTGAGTGACCTCAAACTATTTCTAAAATTATTTATGAACCGTTTCTTGCATTATTTACTTTTGAACTGTTTCCAAATTTAATTTTGGAACTGTTTCTTACATATCAGGCGTGCTTGCATATCAGTGTCTTGTTATTATTGATTTTTCTTTCAATGATTGTTAAAACGAGTTTTCTAGGCGAGTGTGTACTTTATCGCACTCGACCTAAATAAATATGAAATTTTCAATGATTAATGATTAAATGCTACTTGCGCATGAATGTAAGCCTTTTGGGCTGAACTGGCCATTGCCCCTTGTTACCGGTCGTCTCGAGCCAGAAGCGGACTCGGTCGGGCGACTAGGAACTTGTGTGAACGTTTCGGTATACTCGAGTATTACCTTGTAGGTTGGTGGAGCCTGGCCAAAAGCCAGGGACGGGGTGAATGAATGCACGAATGAAACCAAAAATGCAATGAAATGACAGGAGAACGAACGTATCTTTTCATGAATGTTACTATCGCTTTCCATTGTACCTGTTTCTTGAATTATTGATACTCCATATTTAATGTTTTGTAAACGTTGTAATTGTTTCTAGACTTATCATTTGATTTACGACATCATTGAAATGAACCATTGTTAAACAGATTTGATTACTGATTTTCTGGTTACTCGCTGAGCTTCTAGCTCACCCCAAAAATATTTTATTCCCCTCCACAGGGCTCAAGGCGAAGGAAGGGCTTGTAGTACTTGTGCACGTGATTGGATGGCCTATGTTTTGTACAATTTGGATTTGGAATCATTTTATGTATAGTTGGGAATTGTTTCCGCTTCGCTTATGACATGTAATTTTTGGAGAATTTGATGTATATTGGAGATTTATATTGTAATATTTGAGGTTTATTCTTGTAATTCATTTGAGGATTGTAGTGAACGACTGAGTCCCGGCGAGAGCTGGGCAGGCGGTCCGCCGAACCCTCTGGTTCGCCTTAGGGGGAGGTGGGGTCGTTACAATTGGTATCAGAGCTTAGGCTTCAGATCTCTGTAGTGTATCCTAGGCTTGAAGTTTAGGATGCCGGACTGTGGGTTTGGTTTGCAATATTAGTGATTCTTGCGGAATGTCTTGCATTGATTAATACAAGATGGAATGTCGAGGACGACATTCTTTTAAGGAGGGGAGATTGTGACGCCCCGAAAAGTATAAGTGTGAGAACCCGTACTTTTCCCATTTTCTAGGGTTTTATTTATTTAATGGCTTGTTTTCTGCGTTTTCTTTAGTAGGGAAATTTTCTAGATATTTTTAAGGAGCAGATATAGTTTTTGGATGATTTTTCTAGTATCAAATAGGTTTTGAGAAATTAAGAGTGTATACCGGATGTGGGACCCACTAGGGCGAAAAGTTCGGAAAAATTCGACCAATAAGGTTAAGTTTCGGATACTGGGTGAAATTTATCGGGTGTTAAGAGATAAATAGAGGAGGTGAAGTGATTGATGTGAGAGGAAAAAAGAAGGATAGGAATGCATTAATGAGGTGACAAGTGTCACCATTATATTGGATATGACTTATGACAACTATTCACCTTTTGGACTTATTTGACCCATTGATTAAATATCTCAAAATTACCACAAAAATCACCATTTCTTACCTCCTTGGTGGCCGGCCCTCTCTAGCAAAGAAGGAAGAGAAACTCTTCAAAATCTTGGCAACTATCTAGCTCAAATCCTCCAAAACACTTGCTTGATCTTGTTTCTACTCCATAAAATCTCTCCATTTGGTGTTAGTGGTTAGTTTGGTGAAGTTTTTGGAGAAGCTAAGGTGTCCTACAACTCTCCCTCTCTTGTTTACTAGGTGAGTGGTGAATGAACTTCCTCCTACACTTAATGAAGCTTAAGTTGTGCTTAATGGTAGCTAAAGTGATGAATTTGTGGTTTATTTCTTGGTTTGAGAGGAATTGGTGAAGTTTTCAATTTATTGATGAATTTTCTGGTTTAATTGTGATCATGATGTTGTGGTTATCTATGATGGTTGGAATTGATGGCTAATGACTATAGTAGGTGTACATGATTGGTAATTGTAACCAATTTTGGGTTTGGAAGGAATTTGAGAAAGTTAGGGTTTCATAACCCCCTTTTTGTCCGGTTTTGTATGATATGGTTAAAGGCCGAATTGGCCTTGGCTCAAAACATGAAAGTTGTAGGTATTGATTTTCTAAGGGTGCCTGTAAAATTTCAGGTCAATTGGAGTAGTGTAGAATGAGATAAGCCGAAATTACTATTGCTGTTCTGGGTTCATCAGGATGTTAGAACTGTGTCTGAAATGGGTTGTTTTGACTGGAATTGTTTTGGATTTGGGTGTTGAGGTCTTCTGATGAAATGTAGCTTGATGTCCTAGCTACCATATACCTTTGGAATGTCTGCATTTGGACCTGTTTAGACTGAGTTGTACTGATTACAGCATAGTGTAATTTGTAAACCTGCAATTACGGTTCTGGTTTGTTATTTGGCATATTTGACTTAGTTGTGCTGGGATTTGGACTGAGTGACCTTCTACATTGTTGTAGCCCTGGTTCTTAGCTTCGAAACGGTGGGTCTTGGACCTCCATCCGATACTCGTAGTACCTTTGGTGCCATTACCGCAAAAGGACGTCAAAACTATTTTTCTGGTTTTGAGCTTAACTTTCATTTCCGGACTTTTCCCTAGTTTGACTTGTACTAGTACTACTTGGAACTTGCTAAATGGCTATTGGACGAACTTGTTGTTGTGTGTGTGTACCTTTGGGTTGGAATGAGGAAATAATGAAGCCTTGATGGCTGGAAAAGTAAAGAAATTTAGGGGAAGTGCTGTCCGAACTTTGAAGGGATTTGTTTGCATTGAGTTTGTGATCTAAGACTCGGATTTGAGCAAGGCAATGATATATGATGGATGGTTTCTGAGCCATGGAGGTGAGTGACCTCAAACTATTTCTAAAATTATTTATGAACCGTTTCTTGCATTATTTACTTTTGAACTGTTTCCAAATTTAATTTTGGAACTGTTTTCTTACATATCATGCGTGCTTGCATATCAGTGTCTTGTTATTATTGATTTTGCTTTCAATGATTGTTAAAACGAGTTTTCTAGGCGAGTGTGTACTTTATCGCACTCGACCTAAATAAATATGAAATTTCAATGATTAATGATTAAATGCTACTTGCGCATGAATGTAAGCCTTTTGGGCTGAACTGGCCATTGCCCCTTGTTACCGGTCGTCTCGAGCCAGAAGCGGACTCGGTCGGGCGACTAGGAACTTGGGTGAACGTTTCGGTATACTCGAGTATTACCTTGTAGGTTGGTGGAGCCTGGCCAAAAGCCAGGGACGGGGTGAATGAATGCACGAATGAAACCAAAAATGCAATGAAATGACAGGAGAACGAACGTATCCTTTTCATGAATGTTACTATCGCTTTCCATTGTAAATTTTTCTTGAATTATTGATACTCCATATTTAATGTTTTGTAAACGTTGTAATTGTTTCTAGACTTATCATTTGATTTACGACATCATTGAAATGAACCATTGTTAAACAGATTTGATTACTGATTTTCTGGTTACTCGCTGAGCTTCTAGCTCACCCCAAAAATATTTTATTCCCCTCCACAGGGCTCAAGGCGAAGGAAGGGCTTGTAGTACTTGTGCACGTGATTGGATGGCCTATGTTTTGTACAATTTGGATTTGGAATCATTTTATGTATAGTTGGGAATTGTTTCCGCTTCGCTTATGACTTGTAATTTTTGGAGAATTTGATGTATATTGGAGATTTATATTATAATATTTGAGGTTTATTCTTGTAATTCATTTGAGGATTGTAGTGAACGACTGAGTCCCGGCGAGAGCTGGGCAGGCGGTCCGCCGAACCCTCTGGTTCGCCTTAGGGGGAGGTGGGGTCGTTACAAAACTTTCTAATCTTCTTCATTATGTTCCTTTCAGCATTACTCACCTCAGATAATGCAAACAAATTTACGGAATGTCCAATAAATAAGCAAATCTCAAATTAACTAAAACTTACTGAATAGACACACAAAACTAAAAGTACTTCAATAATCAAGACTTTCATACCAGTAAATTGAGGAGCAACAATCCCCAGTGCGAACTTGTAGAATGACAATGAAGCCAACAATACCGGCCTGTATTGCTCCAAAATTGGCTCTACATTAGTTTATATTAGCTCTGAAGCCACCTATGCCCCCAAAATTATCCATATCACAATGCCATTACGAAAAAAATCAATACTAACCATCCAAAATCCAAAAAAAGAAAAGAAAAGAAAAGTGTAAAACAGGTGCCTGCATATTTATTGAGATTAAATATACCTCATTGATGTAAGGCCACATCTTTTCCAGCTGAAGGTTCAACCAAGTCAACTGAAAAACAACCAACCATAAACACACATGATTTGAATTAAACAAGATATGCAGACACATATTTTTATTTTTATTTTTATTTTTTAAAAAAAGAGCACAACAAATCACAATACAATACCATTTGCTGCCGCGAGAAAACCACCCAGGAAGACGGAAACGTTTTCCTCTCTCTTCTTTTGCACCTGTACAACCACATAGCAAACCGTCCATGAGTATTTTCGAAAGTTATCTACGATTGTGCGGGAGAAAGGAAAAATAAGTAAAACTAAGCTTCGCTGTCACACTTGCACCAAGACATCCCACAACCTCCAAGTAACTCAATGAATCAAACTTACACAAACCCCAACAAACACATAAAATACCAAAGAAAACATTCGCAAGCAACAAGAAATAATCAACTAAAACCATAAGCTGAAAACTATGTCAGACCATATAACTCACTCTGACATAACAATTCATGCAGAAAACAGATTCCTCACATAAGTATCCCAGTTAGTAATTTCCCAACGCAAGAGCAAAATCCAGATGCTCCTCGTGAAATCTAAGATATTTAACACGTACTCCACTTCAGTTGCAACTTAAGCAACGAAACATATTTAAGTATCTTACAAATTCCCAGATTTATGTCCAACCCAAGAGTAGTTTCAAATTAGGGCACCAATAGCGATTAAACGCATTAATCTAAGCAACTAAAACATAGATACTTTAGAGCACGAATGAGCCATTAATGATAATAATGAGAGGGAAAAGAGAAAGAGAGATAGAAATGCTTACATCATGGCCATGGATATCTGTTTGAAATCATGTTTTTCTTTTTGTGGGAAATGGAGAAGAATTGCTGCTTTCAATTTCAGATAATTCCAAACAAGTCCTCGTTCCTCCACAATGCACAAGTTCAGAAGAATTCAGGGGAGAAACGTTCCTCTAGTACGCACCTCACAGTGGGTTCAGCAACCAGTTGTCGAAGTTCAAGAATGCGATTCTAATGGCTGCGCTTCTCACCTGTAAAAACAGAGCAAGCGGCAAAAGATGATTCTGCACTACCAACTCTATCTTAGATGGAGCATAAGAGTCTAGAAATTAAAAATCATTCCAGCTGCAACCCAAAAAAAATGAAAAAAAGTTCAATGCAATGAAGGTTTTAACACAAAACCAGGAGAAGGGGAAAAAATGCAAAAGAATGAAGAAGAAATGAGAGATCGAACGTTTTGGAGAGGAGGAAACGAAGTAGAGGCGGCGGAGCTTCTGATGATGAAGGTGAGGCAAAGAAGAAGGGGAAGAAAGAGAGGGGCAAGCGGCGGAAATTTAAGAAAAACCCTAGAGAGCAAGTACATGTAGACGTCTGGCGCGTTGCGCTGAAAAAAAAAGGGCTGATGCCCATGCATGCGGCACGTGAGAGGACGACGAAAACCATCCAAGTCATAAGAGCTCTTCGGCTCTTATTCTACTTATGTTGAAAAGCTTGGGCTTAAGTACAAACTTTGTTCTAAAAACTCATATAGCAATGTGTGAATTGCACAACGTGGTAATATGTTTTTGTGTTAATTGCACAACAAAAGCCACACTTCAATTAAATGTGTTTATAACACCATTTCAGTAATTATACCAACACATAAGCTTATGTGAGTTGTACTCGATGCAAAAACGATTGCAAAATAATTTCATATTCCAGAAATATCCAGATGTCTTCATAAATCAAAGCTTTAAATTTACCAAAATGAGGGCATTTCGATAAATATACTTAAATACATATTGCCCTCAATTGTACCAAAAGTTTTAAAAATATTCCACATTCCCAAAAAGCCCTTATCCATGCGTTTGAATTTAAACCCCCTTTGACCACAACTCATTTTTATATAGTATAATGATACATATATATATAATCATACCAATATTTAAATTTAAAATTATACAAAATTTTAGATCGAAGTCAGCTTTGGTCAACTTTAGTCAAATATGATCAAACTAGTCAAACTTATTAATTCTGATCAAACCAGTCAATTCTTGTCTACCAGTCAAATGGATCAAGACTTATTGAATCAAAAATCCATATCCATAACTTGACTCAAAATATATTAGTTAAGTCCAAAATCTTCTTGAAACCTATAATTGTCTTATTAGACTTTATATTTAGTGGGCCAACTTTTTGGACTTTGTAAGGCTTCAACGTCTTGTTTAACTCTATTAGGATTCACTCAAACTAGAAAAATTCTAATTTTCTTAACATAAATATAGGCATATTGACTCTTAAACAAGAAAACAAGCCAAAAATCCAAGTATTAACTAAATTAATGTTCCTAATCTTATAACTCTAAAGGTACACTCACAGCTTCAATAATCAATAAAGAAAGCCATTTGGTTTTGTTTTTTGCTGTCCAAAAAAAAATCAATAAAGAAAGTTGTGTCCATAAAAACTTAAAAGAAAGCATAAAGTAGCATACATGGATGTAGGCCAAAAACATGAAAGTTAACTTCTTGTCTTGATACTTGAGACATACAAAATTGAACAATCGGCCATTCATATCATATAAACAAATTGAACACAAACAGTTGGTTGATTCTTCTAGGACAAGTAAACTTGATTTTATTAGAAAAAATTACAAATTACTAAACCACAAATTATTTCTCAACAATAACTTGCTTTGATACCACTTGTTACTGGTTATTCATATTAACTTTTGATGAAAACCATCACCTATTAAATTCAAAATCTTTATGGTGATTACTGAAAGATAAATCAACAACAAAATTATGGAAGCATATCTGGATTCATGTTGACTATTTGGCACTTGAATCTTTAGAGTCTTATGGTGGCTTTCTAGATCAACACGTATTTGCTGATCGTTTGAGAGAACCCTTTAGTTTCTTTTGGTATCTCTCTTGACGACAGGATATCAAGAGAGAACTATTTTGTAGTACTAAAATATGATAATAGGAATATGTGACTCGGGTACCATAAGTCTACTTATAGATAACTTTCCTATTTATCTTTTGGAATATCTATTTTAACCCATCATAGAAATAGAAATTATTGTTAAGTCTCTACACATTAAAGACCCACATTCTATTGGATGCATTAAAATCCAAATCATAATTGATTACTTTAATTGCACTTAACTTTATTTAACACTCTATAATGCATAACTATTCACATATGAGTCCAACGTTGGATTGAGGATCGAATATCAGGTGTTTGGCTACTTAAGAGATACCATCAACATGTGATTGCTTAACTACAAAAATTAATTTTCAACATTGCAAGAAAAGAAGTAATGTTAAAAGTAGTGATCATGGCAATGTCTATCTATGACATGCCCTGTTTCAAGTTGTCAAAGAAATTATGAAAGCAAATCAGTGCCTCAATATCTTAACTTTTGGTGGGGAGAAGCTGAAGGGAAAAGGAAGATGCATTAGACATCATAGTAAAAGCTTTACGAAGAAGAAGAAGAAAGAGAGAGTACTAGGATTTAAAGACATCAAACAACTCAATCAAGCCCTCCTAGCAAAATATGTATGGAGAATCATCACTTCCCCAAATATGTTAGTCAGCAAAATTTTGAAAGCTAAGTATTTCCATAAGAAATCCATCTTCAACACTCAAATCCCAAAATTTGCTTCCTGAATTTGCCAAAGTCTTCTGAGTGCCAAAGATCTGCTCTATGGAGCATTGAGAAAGAGAATTGGCAATGGCAGAAACACACTAATATTTGGGAGGATAAGTGGACCCTTAATAACCCAAATGGGAAGGTAAGGGGCATGAAACCAGATCAATGCTCGCCTAACATGGTCTTTAATCTAATCATTGATCATAGATAGAACATAAACTTAATTTTTACACTCTTTATATGGGCAAATGTAGAGAACATTGTAAAATTCCTATCAGCCTGATGGGAGGGAGGATAGTTATTGTTGGATACACACACCACATGGATAGTACTCAATAAAGTTAGGAAACAAGGTAGGTATGCAGCAATCTAGTCAACCATCTAAGAGAATGGAGAATAGAGTAGCATCTAGTTTGCAACAGTAGGATTCTCCAAGTTGGAAATTGTTTTGAGCTTAAACATGAAAAATAAGCTCAAACATTTCTTTTGGAGATGTCTTAATCATGCACTGCGTGTTCATGAACAAATCTTTAAAAGGGCAGTATTCAGATATACCAACTTTTCCTATAGATTTCATTAGATTATGTTTGGTATGAAAATAATTTAGTTAGTAGTTAAATACATCTTATTGTTATGATATTTGTTAACTAAAAATCATGTTGGTTTGTTAACAAATATTTTAGTTAAGATTTGCTAAGTTGGAGGTTATGTTATCAAGCAATTTTGATGAAATTTTTTAGAGAAAAATTTTAGTTAGAATAATGTTAGTTTGGGAATCAACAAAGTGGTATCAAGAGCATATGTCGTAAAGGTCTGTTGTTTTTTTTAGAGTGAGTGCATTTGGTGAGAATTCTTTATCAGTTTAACACAATGTTTTGAAACTCGGACTGTTAATTGAACCGGTGAGGTGTTCAAGTCGCGGTTCAATCTGTCGGATAGTTTCAACACCGATTCACTGAATTTTTTAAAAATAAATTATATATGTGTGTATGTTTATATATGTGACGGCTCCACCTTCCCCTAAGGCGAACGAAAGGGTTCGGCGGACCGCCTGCCCAATTCTTGCCAGGACTCACTCACTCATAGCTCAAGAAAAATAGCGTACGTCCATAGAAAAATGCATAAC